AATTAATCGTTACGTATGATGTGATGCATGTAATATATTGCTTGGAACATGTTCGGCTATCTGCACGTTTGTTTGTTTTTTATTATTTCCATTCAGCGCTCATTGATTCAAAGCAATCCTTATACTTGTACATGCCTATGATAATATTTTATTTGTGAACATAATTATCTATGGAATATCTTTTTGAAATATTTTAGATGTGTTGTTTATTTCGTCACAATTTTTATCATGTCTCAAATTTTTGCGCTTTTTTGAATGAAGGGAATGTTTACTTGAAAAATGTAATCAAATGGGTTTAGTTGTCACGATATTTTAAATTAAAAACAAACACTCGCACTATTTTTTCTTCGTGGTAATCATGTGTGCGTCTGTTCTGCATGCAGGTTGTTGGCTGGATCGTTTTTGAGTTACGAATAAATTTATGGGAAGTAAAGCATGTTGGAATGATGTTAAGAGCAAACATCGTTTGTGCTGATCGTCAATGCATTATAATAACAATATTCCTACACGGCCCCTTTCATATAAGGAGATGCATTTCTATGAACTACTATAAATTAAAGACGAGGTACAAATGAGAAACAGGATTTTATAGCAGTTATAACAGCAACAAATGTTTCAAACGAATGAACCCAGATATCCACACCGTATTTGAGTTTGGTTTTCGCAGTTTTAAAAGTTTCCGAACTTTACAAGGACCTGAGGGCACACCATCCTATTGCACTTGGAAAACCGAATTGTGTGGAATCGTTTTGAAAACACCAATGACAAAAAATCAGGGCAAACATTAAAAGCTGAACAAATTTATTAACATGACGCAATGAGACGTTACGATGTTTTAAACGAACGTTTTTAACTTCATAGAAAATTCAACAGCGAGCACATAAATGAATTTCTAATGAAGAGTTCCATCCTTGAAATATTAATTTCAATGAAAAAATAAAATTCGTTCACAATAAAAGGCAAATCATTTGAATAACTTTCTTGGCAGTGATTAATTTTATAAATCCGTTTTTAACTTAGAAGAACATTTTAAAAACTAAAACCTTCACAGCCTCAGACATATTTCCATGTTCACAGCTTAAACATTTTGTCAAGTATAAAAATGCTTGACAATCTTTAAAGTACCTCACGAAGAAAATAATAAAAATAACTTCAAATTTAAAGAACAACAAATGGCGTAAAGATGGTATTTCACAAAGTTAGGTATGCTGTTTTTGTTATTTTGAATTGTAGAAATTTTGCTCTTGTTGACGTTTTGAAATATCGTTCCGTGCGGCGTTGATTAATGTTGGAAAAAAGTCGTTCATTGTCTCACAGATATTAATCTAACGTCTGAAGTAGGTTTCTAGCAGGGTGTATGTGAATGATTGTTTGGATGACCAGCAAAATACGAATGATGGCTTGCAAATAGAAATAACAACAAAAATAATGTTGAGGAAGTAGAAGCTAAAACGAGTAAGACCAATAGATAATCTCGTTTCTATGCAAACTATGCTCACTTTTTTGTTCATTTACATATTCGATAAACAACTTGCTAAACTGACTAATGCCACGAGATAAGTTAAATTGTTTTTTGTTTCCCTAATCGTCATAAGAAATTAATTTAACTCTTTTTTTGGTTTGTTGTTATTGTTGATGTTCAAGTTAAGGCATGTGGGTGTGGAATGTTTCAAGCCATCAGGAACTGTTAGCACAAACAAACATGTGAACGTTTGGAAAGAAACATCTGCCTGCCAACTGATTTTTAAAATCAAATGTATGCATGAACCGCTGCACCTCAATAAATTCACTTGTATTAATTTAGTTTTTGTCAAAAACATTAAAAAATTGTAAATTTATTTGAACGTAAAAATGTCGAGAATGTGCTGAGAATTTAGCAAATTTAAGCTCTGCAGAAGTAAATGCAAATGTTGAAAAAGCCCTTAAAACGTTTTATTTTTAGTTTTTGAATTTTGCTTTAGTGGCTGCTGAAAAATTTTGATATTGAAAAAAATATTTTTCAATTGGATTCTAATTATAATTATATAATGAAAGTGAAACGAACGAGGTTTTTGTGGTATTTATAATATATATAGCAGTTAATTAGATGCCACAATGTGTATCTAAGTTAAATTCATTGATTCAATCTCAATGCATTGAATAGTATGAATATTTTTGAAGTACAAATTAAACAAGAAGAAGCACGGAGCAATTAAACGATGAATTTGTTACTTGTATGTACGTGGCAGAGCTCTGCACCAACATCTACACTGCACATAACTGCACAACTAGTTTAATGCTTAACCATATATAGCACATGTATATTCCAAACACATGAATAATTTATGAACAGTATAGGTATGTGTCTAGCCCACACCTAGACCATGATTTTCAGTTCAGTGCTCTTCAAATGATTTTATCGAGATTGAGATCCCAATTAATTGCTACCGTGGTTGTACCGTGAATAAGTGCTGTTCAAAGTTAGCAATGTCACAGTGGTTTATTCAATTTCATTGGTTCCAAGTCATCAACGGGCAGTTTTTTGCAACTGAATGAGGATAATAGTAATGATAATCATTATACTTAGCGCGCAAGCCCGTGCAACATCTCGTGCCAGTAACTTCACTTTGAGGATGCATGGAAAGTTTTTTTGTTTCTGCGTCGTCCTGCTGAGTAATAAATCAATGGAGGGAAGAAAAAAATGTGAATTGGAGGGCGTGAAAAGAAGGGATGTTATGCTAGAAAATTTTAAATCCGTGAGATTTTTTGATCAAATCACTTTAAAAGATTTTCTTTTTTTCTTATTTATCAATAAAGTTAATCGTTTTATGACTATGCAGCATAACTTTGCAAAAATAGCGGCCATAGTACACATACATAAATATGTTCATTTCACTATTCATTTTCATTTATTTGCTGATTATAGGAATATCTTTAAAAAATCTCTATCATTCACCGTGTTTATATTATTTGATACTAATGCAGCCTAATGTAGAAAAGTTGAATTGAAGTTGGTATATAAAAATTTGGTCCTGGACATGATTGCTGACCAGCAACGTAGATGGCCCTATAAACCACATGCAACAAAAATAGAAATTATAGAAAAACTTTATTTGTCTAACACGTGGACCCATCATTTTGAAACATTAAAAAATAAATCAACTGCAGACCGATTTTTAACTCAATGTACAACAATTTATTTAAAAGTCAAATAAGCAAAAAATAGTGACTCGATCCGTAACCAGTTTTTCGGATGCTGCTTCAATTAATTTTATTTGCAATTTCTTTTATTTCTATTTTATTTCATTATTTTTCTTCTTGATCATTCGATTTAATTAATTAAAATAAACAACTTCAACGTTATATTGCTTCGAATAAAAAAAAAGAACTTGTTGAATGAGTTTTAAAACCTTGCATTCTCTTTTGTTCCTTTTGGTTATGTACAATTAATTTTTGGTATTTTTGTTAATTTTTACTGCATTGTGATGTGAGAAAAATTTAAAAATTTGAATAAAAATTAAAACAAACTACACCATTTTTTGAGTTTAACTTTTATTTATTCTTTGGCCGAAATAAAATAAAAATTTGAAACTCAATCTGGGAAGGGGTAAACATCAGATTTTAAAAATATACATCGACACGGTAAGTAGACATAAACATCATTTACTATTTCTGCAACGAAATGTTCTTTTTACGTAAAAGGAACGCAATTTTTTAAATTTACAGCCATACGTGACAGAGTTGCATGCACTTCTTTAAACAGACTCGCAACCAGCCATCCGCCGCGCAACGTAAATGTCGTTTTCATTAGACACAACGTGTATTTTTGGGCAGCGAACATAGGACAGTGTTGCTTTATTATAATGTCTTGTTGTCTATTAACGCCTGAATTTATACAATTAAAGGTGTGGTTGTATTGTTGTTAGACTGTTGTTGTATTGTTGATTTTTTGCTATATTGTTATCGTATAGTTGTTTTATTGTTACATTGTTGTTGCAGTAACATTGCTATTGTAGCAGTGTTGTTATAATTGTTGAGTTGTCTTTGTATTGATCTTACGCGATTGTTACATTGTTCTGGCATTGTTAAATTTTTTAAACTCTAGTTGCATTGTTGTGGCATTATGTTGTGGTTGTTTAATCATTTATTGTACTCTTTTTGTTGTGGTTTTTGAACTGTTGTAACACTGATGTTGTGTTGTTGTGGTTGTCAAACTGTTGTTGCTCTGATGTTGTGTTGTTGTGCTTGTTGAACTGTTGTTGCTCTGATGTTGTGATTGTTGTTGAATCGTTGTTGCATGAATGTTGTTTGGTTGTTGCATCCATGTTCACATTTTTATATATTTTCGTAGCAGTTTCTTCAAATTGAATCTTGTTTCATTGCAGCGACAAAGCACAAATTATTGTTTAAAAGCCGATGTACACTAGCAGGCAGGCAGGTAGGCAGACGCATGTTTTCATTTTTATAAGCATGCTAGACACGTTTTTTGTACACAAGCAACTCATTAAAGTGATTAGCATGCTTGATGAACATGTGAGTGGATCGTCGGCATGATGAAATGAAAGATGAACTTTTAAATCTTGCAACGTGTAGTTATTCAGAAAATTGTTGATGTTCTCTAAAGTATGAGGCAGACACGCCATGAAATTATTCATAAAACTCAACGTCTTATTGTCAGGCGAGGGGGTTCTTTAAGAATCTGTTCCGAGCGTAATTTTATTCTGACCTTGTAATGTCATTCTTCATCGAGGCTCGCGTAATAACGTGCAGGGAGAAGTTCCTCTCGAGTATGATTCTAAGAAAGGCGGCCAAAAATAAAATTGTTTATGCTGAAACTAATGTTGCCATGATTATCGCAACAGCTTTCAAACTAGTGTGCTGTAGGTCGCTGTGCCGTACATTATTAAGGAGGTGAAGTGGTGCACGTCATTAAAGAGGTGGTGCACGTCATTAATGGGGTGGTGTACGTTATTACCATCGGCACTGTTATCGCCAAGACAGATCTAATTCTGTGTCCTCATAATGTTACATTATTGAGTCCCTCGCACACTCGCGTAAAAATTGTTTTGTTCTTCCTGGCAGCCACCAGCCGGAACTTATCGTTCCAGTACAACGTCATCCACGTAGCGTAGCTTCATCTTGTCGCATGATCACCAGGCTATTGAACACGATGTGATATTTCTTCTATTGTTTCAAGGCCTTCTATCACAACAAAAACTAATCATTTATCAACTCTGAATTTCCAATTGGCATGAGTTTCTAATAAATTTTTCACGTTTTCGTCCTGTTAGAAAACTCATTTTTAAGAGCTTTCCAGCAAAATTAAAAATTCCCACGTTAACACGAAAATTAAATAAGTTTCGTCACCGCTATAAATAGAATACGTCCCATAAATCCTCTTCACGTAGCTTAATACTCACTCGACAGCCGTATGCGCGCACATTGGGTGTTAAACAGTGCATTGAAATGCATGTAACTATACACAGGTACGCATGTTACATTGTTTACAACTGCACAACTATTAAATTATATAATAATATATATAATATATTATTATATAATTTATATAAACTTCACAAAAAAAACTTCACATATATATATATATATATAAGTGAAGTTTTTTTGGCGCGCGTATATGAATGAATGTTTCACGCTGCGTGTGTTGGTTGGTTTGGCGCGCTTGTTGTATGGAGTGGTCTGGTATGCATGCTGGTGGAATGTTATGTGAATTGGTTTTATGTGAATAGTATGGCGCGATTATGGTGAGTATATTTGAGAGTGAATGTTTGCTCGGGTGAATTAGTATATA